GTTACTGCTTAAACAGTAAAATACACTTATTCATGTTCAGGTATCGTATAATGGCAAAGTTGTAATTTACGTTTTGGGGACGTGTTTTCAACAAACAAACGGCATTCCCATGGGAACCAACTGTGCACCTCTTCTTCCCGACTTTTGCCTCTATTCATATGACTCTTACTTCATTAAGGAACTTCTTAGGAAGAATGAAAAGAAGTTGGCATTATCCTTTAACTTCACTTTCCGATATATCGATGATGTCCTCTCATTAAATAATTCAAAGTTTGGTGACTATGATGAACGCACCTCTCTCATCGAACTTGACATAAAGGATACAACAGATGCAGTTAAATATGCCTCACATCCCAACTTACATCTAGAAGTTAATAATGAGGGCTGAAAACAAAATTTTACGACAAAAGTGATGATTTCAGCTTACCAATTATGAACTTTCCAGTTCTATGTAGCAACATTCCAGCAGCGCCTGCATATGGAGTATATATCTCCCAGTTGAAACGTTATTCCAGGGCTTGCATTTCCTATCATGATTTCCTTGAGAAAGAGTTGCTGCTCACAAGGATTGTATAAAACCAAGAGTTCCAAGTGGTGAAGTTGAATTCATCACTTCGTAAATTTTATGGACGCCATCACGAGTTGCTTGACCGTTATGGAAATATCTGTTTCACAGATGACGACGGATATGTTTCAGTTGTCGTAACCACAACCCCGCCCTCTTTTTTTACCGAATGCGACCTATCGAATTAGACTTATCACCAGGTTAGTATTTACATGAGGAACACGACGGGTGATACATTTAAAACAGGACCTGCTTATCCTTCCGGAGCACCTGAGATTCCCCCGTTTTTTGGTGGGGTTCGTGTTGCTCAGTCTTTAGTTTTCTATGTTGTGTTTTATGTACCGTTGTTGGTCTTTTAGTCTTTTTTTTTTGCCATGGCGTTGTCAGTTTATTTTCGACTCATAAGTTTGAATGTCTTTGGTATCTTTCGCCTCTCTTGTAGATGTCTCTTTACATTTTACCAAATAAACCATCGTTACAAGTAACTTTTCCTAGTCTAAAACCAGAACGATGGTGAAAGTTTGGAATAATACAAATTTTAGACACATCTGGATCGATAAAAATCTCATTGCTTGATTGATAATTGATAGTAGTGTAACTTTCAACAGCAAATGTTCCATGCATATCCAGGATGATAACATGTTAATGGGAAACGGATTTATGGATTTTTTACATAGATCAACACAATGCATCGAATCTTAACGGGTTAGTTGACAAGGTAAAACTCCACAGGAAGATACGCAAACCCATTCAGACCTGCTGACCACGAGTTGACCAGTTTTTATCGGTCTTATATCTCTTACTCCTGAATGTCGTGTTTTTGGCGGAAAAACAGTCAATCCAAATCTTAAAGTCATTGGTTTTTGCCTTACCCAGCGATCGAACCCACGACATCGGACTCCAGGCAGGCACGCTAACAGACAATTTTAAAATCAGAAAATTACAACCTGAAGCTCCTACTGGTTTTACCCTCTGGTTTTCTTTTCCCTTTCGATAAATAATATTTCGGTGATAAGTCATAAACGAGGAAAGAAGGACGGGAATGTGTTTACTTTACGTGGAAATAATCCGTAATTATTTGGTACACAGCGATCATTCAAGTCATGATAGCGACCGTAAATCTGCCTAAAAAATGACTTTAAATTTATCTTTAAGAACTCATGGATCTTTAGTTTCTTTGGGAACATTAATTCGCAATCATTGAAATTCCTATAGGAAACACAAACTTAGAATATCATTATAATTGATGGAAACATATTTCTCTAATGCATACCCGATTTATATTTTGCCCGACCGTTTGATTATTGTTTTATACTAGTAATCAACGTGTGGTTCTTTTGATCTGAGTTCTTCATTGGTAAAAATTTAATTGTAACGTCAAATGTTCTATGGTGTATGCATCTTTTGTCCATAGTGTTTGACTTTTTCAACCTGTATTTTTTATTGTACATTTTTTTTTAGACAAAAGTAGCTTACCCATGTTCAAATCTCAGAAATTCAGTAAGGATAACCATGATATCTTCTACACTTAAAAAGTCTTAAAAAAGTGTTTATAATAAATAACACATTCCCACGGAAAGTCGGCAAGGTCATCAATAGATATAAGAAGATGTGGTATGAGTGCCAATGAGACAACTCTCCATCCAAGTCAAAATTTATAAAAGTAAACCATTATAGGTCACAGTATGGTCTTCAACACGGAGCCTTGGCTCACACCGAACAGTAAGCTATAAAGGGCCCCAAAAAATTACTAGTGTAAAACCATTCAAACGGGAAAACCAACGATCTAATTTATATAAAAAACGAGAAACGAGAAACACTTATGAACCACATCAACAAACGACAACTACTGAACATCAGATTCCTAATCAAGTTTATTTTGTGTAAAGCTATCTATGAAATTAAAACCTGTAAACCTATCAATTATAGAATTCAAACCATTTCTATCGTTTAATGCTTCCTCAATCAGGAAAAAATTAAGTTTCTCCTACATAATCCATATGAAATAACTGTGATTTCATTAATTTCAATGTATTTTCAAGAAAAAAACAAGGTCCGTGACCCCCAGTTTTTATAATGAAATTTGAAAGTACATTGACCAGAAGTCTTTACTCGCGTAGTGGTATTAACCATAAAAACTGTAAAGAACTGCTTGATAATTTTAAATCTCGATCTTTCTCTGAAATTATTTCATTCAAAACCTTTGGATTTTTCACTGAACCCTTTATACCACTATTCTCCATGTAAAATTGAAAAATCGTCTAAAAGAAATAATCCACAATGCTTTTCAGTATAAAAATGGTAGCATACGCTATAAATTTATTGCTTTGGGATACCATACGAAATTATTTTTTCAACAAATTGTCGGCATTCCCATGGGAACGAACTGTGCGCCTCTCCTTGCCAACATCTTCTTAATTTCATATATACTCAAAATGATTTTTTAAGAATTGTAGTACATTTATTTTGAAAGGAAATTTTTCAATTACTAATAAAGATATTCACTCAAAACGTGTTTGATTGAGAAAAGGGCATTCAATTCCTTCGAGATTGATGAATAAAGGTCAATTTATCACAATTAGAGTTACTTCCGGTGCCATTAAAGTTAGTACCGTGTATGACCACCTCTCGCTGCTAAAACTGCTTCGTATCTCCTCGACGACATGGATGCTATCAATGTTCTAATGTTGGTGCGTGGAATTGCTCGCCATTGCTGTTGCAACTTTTGTCGGAGTTGATCAAGGGTCTGTCACTCTGAGGCGGGGGTTGACGCTGGCGTACACGTTTATCAAGTTGGTCCCATAGGTGCTCAAAAAGATTCAAATCCGGTGATTTGAAAGGTCAAGGTAGCACATTGATGTTATTCTGCTCAAGGTAGTCCATTGTTAAACGCACTGTGTGAGGACACACGAGGAAGCAAAAAAAAATCATGCGCCGGTAGACACGAGTTCTTCCATCACATTTCTGAAGCATAAAACGGACTCATCACTAAACCAGAGTCTGCGCCAGTTGCGGAATATCCAGCCCCTCAATCTGTTGGACCATCGGACTCTATTCCGTCTGTGTACTGTGTAACGCCCTCCTGGGTCTAATGCCATGTTGTAGCAGTCGATTGCAGACTATTTGTGAGCTGATTCTTCTCAATCCTGGTCTCCCAACTGCAGTGTCTGTTGCGGTAACGGTTTGATTCTGGAGATGAAATAGCCGGTTGTAGCGATCTGGTCAAGGAGTCGTTAGGCGAGGTCGTCCACTCCTCGGGAGGTCCTTAGTACAGCCAGTCTGCTGGTATTTGTTCTACAGTCGCGAAATTGTGCTCTGGTTAACATTTTCAGTTCTTGCTACTTTTTTTTGGGATACTCCAGCCTGAAGGCAACCGATGACGATATTTCGAATAGCAGAGTCCAACCTTGGCATGGCAGCGTTTTAACGCTGTGATGAATTAAATCTTCAAACTTGGTCCTTATATGCGCAAAAGTGTAACAGTTGAGTTGACCACAAAATTCTAGTGAAAAACGTTAACAAAATTTGGCGGCGAAAGAGGTCACATGCACTTTTAGCGAGTCGCAAATTTCATGTGGCAGATAGCCAAATCAAAAGAACGGGCACTTGAAAAGACTTACCTGTAAAAATTCTAAAATGCAATTGACCGTTTCATTTTACTTTGTAAAAAATATATTTTGCAGTTTGAATAATTCATCCGAGCTATGCGTGTCTTGTCTTTTTTTTTAACAGTTTATGAGTCAGAGTTCCATCAGACACTTGTAAAAGAAGCCAGATCATTTAATTTCAGATATATTGACAATGTTCTTTCCTTTAACAATCCAAACTTTTCTGATTTGGATTCCATTAATATATCTTTTAGAACTAGAAATTAAAAGAACAACAGACACGGCTTCCTCCGCCTCAATTTTAGACTCATGCTTTCAATTCTTTTGACCACTTCAGCCATATTAATTTTCAAACCCTTTTCAGCTGAACCAAATCACTACTTTACTTTTAAATTCATGACTTAAATTTTGTGTTTCAGTGTAATTTCAACCCCGCCCTACAATGCTTACTTGCTATTTGAGGCATAAAACATGAACAAATAAATTTGGAAGGGGTATGAACAAAAATTGCAAGTAATACACTGTCTGTCGACACAAGGGACTATGTCTGTACATTGAAAATCTAAGGACGATAACTTTGTTCCAGAACCACATAATGGAATTGTATGTGACTGTTATACAAGTGAGAGGTTTAGCAAGCTATAAAACCAGGTTTAACACAGCATTTTCTACATAACAAAATGCCTATACCAAGTCAGGTACAAGGCAGTTGTTTTCCACTCGTTTGGTGTGTTTGCGCTTTTGATTTTGCCATTTATAAAGTTTTAGAAAATCTATCGTCGTAAATTTAGACACATCAGCTACCTTAAATCACACATGATTAAACATTATACTTTGATCCGTTTTTATTCTACTTGTAGTTTTATGTGTGTAGAAAGCGTTGAACATTATCAACAAAAGGCGGCTATACACTATGTTATATTCAGCGTCATATCACACATTGAAAAAAAAACCATTACATTTCTTTTAAGAATAATAAAGTTTCTGAGTAAAGATTACATTTACAGAAGAATTCTAAACAAAAAACCAGGAATTTGACCTCCAGTGGTAGATGTCCCATTGTTATCAAATTGAGATTTTTCAAACGTAAAACGTACACCGTTGCTGTCTACTTCAGTTGTCCCATTTCTGCCAGAATAACATTGTGGACCTGTCATCACTACAATAGCATGGTACTTTTTATTAGCTAATAGTTTAACGGGTTTCAGAAAATGGACCTTGACATGTTTGTTCTCGGCTAATTTACTGTCAATTGTATCCGACACTACAACCAGATCTTGATCTGAATCATCTTTAACAAAAGCAGTCAGGTTACATGTTGATGCGCCATCTTTACATACAAAAGATAGAATTCCGCACAGTTCAATTTCTTTAGACACTCGAAAACATATAGCATCGTTGTCTCCATTAACATCCCAACAAGATGCATTTAACATTAAACGATTACAACTATATATCTCTGACAATTTTGTGGATCCTGTTCTTGTAACAGTTTTTGTCTTATCCATCGAAATTTTGCATGAACTTTCTGTTCTTACAAGCAAATCAGAAATATTTTCATTTTGAAAAGAAAGTTTATAATCAACGATTTCGTCAGCTTTACTTTGTATAATTTTCTTATGTTCCTCTAGATGTCGCTTTAATCTCTTGACTTCTACCATGACTTGAACATCGGATGCCTTACTCGTGCATGCGTCAAGAATTTGTTTCTCGTTTTCTATATTTTTCTTTTTATTTGTAAAGATCAATTTAATCATATCAATATTTTCTTTTGCCTCATCGTATATTTTCAAAAGTTCTGTCTCTCTTCGAACTTTGAGATCATTTATCTTAGAAACAAGCTCACTGAAAACATTATCAAGTTTCTTTTTCTGACCCCTATACTGACTTTCTAACTTGTCCATAGCAGACTGGCGATCTTTAATTAAGTCTTTAATATCATCTTCTACTTTTTCGAGCTGGGTTCTCAAATCCTTTACCTTCTCTGCTCCGTTGTAATCTCGAGCAGCATCCTCTATAGATAGAACTTTTTCACACTTGCGATGATAGATCGATACACACATCGAACAACAGGGAATCTCGTGATCGACACAATAAAGCTCAAGGTCTTTTCCCTTATGTTCAGAACATTTGTTTCTAAAAGATTTTAATAAATGAATGTCTGATGTAAGCTGTTCAATTGGATTGATTTCATGGTCCGCTGTATATTTGTTCGCCTTGTGATGTTTGCAACAGTTATCACACAACAAATCAGAGCAATCAAAACATATGAAGATGGCATCCGATTTATTTTCCATTCGTTCACATACCATGCACTGTTTTTGCGGACTTTCCACCTTTTCCCTCTGTAATAACCCAGCAATGAGAAAATTTAGCGGTAATGCTTTAGCCCATTCCTCAGAAGAATAGTTTTCATTCGGTGAAGTTACATTGGTCCTACATACCGGACAATGAATACTTTGCGTATGTCTTTTCTCAAATTTGGAAGATATATACGTCTGAATGCAACGTTCGCAAAATGTATGTAAGCATGGTAAATACTTTGGAATGTTAAATTTCTCCAGACAAATCCCACATGTAGTTATATCAACGACATGACTCTCAATCGATGTCGCCATTTTAACGCCCACATGAAAAAGGAAGTAATATACATTTACTAGTATATATCTATAGATAATTATTATCTTTGTTTACCTCTTAAAAATTGATATATATAGCGGCTTGTGCTGTTGACTTGTTAAACTGACATCACGTATGTCATTGTTCAATGGGGGATAGAAAACTTTTTCGAAATTCTCGCAACGATTTCAACAAATTTGGAACAAAATAATTTCTTCTTTTTATCTTAAATATCAATAGTTCAAAGAAGGAGTTTACAGGGATACACAATCAATCGTTGATCAAATCACATCAATTTCCCTTTGATAATCAAATTCGTTTGAATACTTGTCAAGTCTTTTGCTCAAAACAGACTGGATTTGTTCCCATAAACTAACAACTGTGATTGGACACTGTACATCAACTGGCCTAAAGTGTGTAATAAGATTTTGTGAGGGAATTCAATGTTTGATTTACCATGGTTCACATAAACGACAAACCCACTGACTTAATTGCCGATCAAATTGATTTTTTTACAGATTTTCTTTAATGATTTTGCTATTCATCCGTGTATGTGTTAATAAATTGACGCTCCAGGAATGCGAATGTTTTTGTATAAAGTGAATAATTTTTGGTTTACTTTTGGTTACCAGGCTATTAATTACCTCTGGTGTTGTAGTCCACCAGCAGTGGCATTGGTCTAGTGTTACTGATACAAAGCTACAAGATACTGAAGTTCTATGCACCATTTGGACATTTCACATAATTCAAATTTCTCCTGCTCAAAAAGGCAAATACCGGTATAGTATACAAAAGCCAATATATTTGGTCACAATTTGTTTTATAGAAGATCTCAATGATGATCCATATATACCATCCAACAACTTCATAATTAAGTTACCATTTACTGTTAATTCAGAAATTATTGCGAGGTTTTTATTAATGCGAATAATGCGACTCCTTGAGTATCGCAAAAATGAAAACTATTCTGATAGCTGTTATGTATGTATATCTGTATAAAGCTTTTCCTAAAATCGCAACAATTAAACTCGCATTTTTGTTCTTACTTGAAAAATCGCAATAATAAACGCACGCAATAATTTCTGAATTTACAGTACTGTCAAAAGATTGTTGAATTAACTAGACATCATTGAGATAGGAGTCATCTCTGTGGGCCCCGCTGTAAATAACGTGTGGTAAAAAATTTGTATGAATAAGCTGATATGAAGCACTTTTTTAAGTCATATAGAGCGGACACAATTTGTTAGAAACAGACGGACCGACAGACAGACGAACGGACCTTTGACCTAGGAAGTTGTTCATACATTATGACACACCCTCTAGTGTTGATTAATATACATGTCAAGTATAAACTTTGAAACCATAACGGTTCTCATGATATAGAGCGGACTTGATCTGTACCATAGGACATGGGGTTGTCAACTGAAACCAGTTTTTGACCTTGACCTTTGACCTAAGAAGTTGCACATACATTATGACACACCCTCTAGTGTTGGTTAATATACATATCAAGTATAAAGTATGAAATTACAACGGTTCTCTAGATAGAAAGCAGACACAATTTGTTACGGAGAACAAACAGACTGATCACTATAGGGTGACCCACCACTAGGCGGGGCCCTATTAATTTCACTCTAACATGGTCATTTCTAAAAATTATTTTGTATTAGTTTATAAGAATATCAATACTCCTCTGCATTGCAGTGCTGTTTTGAAGAACGGGCTTCAGTGCCTTCAAATAATTTTAAAATGCAAGATTCTCTTCACTTGTCCTTAGATGGATTTGGCTATTGTTTTATGTTCTTGTTGGTCGAATAGCTCTTCAACTGTTTCAGTTCTAATACAGCCCTAGCTTTAGAATGTTTGTCTTTGAGCGTTCCAGAAGGTAAATCCAGAAAAGCGATTCAGGAATTTATCAAGTGTTATTTTCAAAATTTTTTTTGGTGGTTAAAAAGAAACCAACCAATATGAGTGTATATGGCAGTTTAGAAAATTTGCAACCAAGCGACATTTTTAATCACTGAAGCCAGATTTATAGCAATATTTCTTTTTGGTAAAGGGTTTATCAATACTTTTGGTAGGTTACTAAATATACAGATATGAATTCCAAAATGCACAAATTTACAGTTAACATTAACTAGATACCTACCATTTTGATCATTTAATGGTTCCACGGATAAGAAACCATACAAAAATATCATTAAATAAGTGGGGAATGTGTCCGTGGGACACAGATGAGGCCCCCGCTTGCATATGTTATATAGGCCCATAACTCAAGAACGGTAAAAGTAATGCTACCCAAATTCGTACTAGATCTGAGTTTTGTAGTAATAAACATTGTGTATGTTTCATAACATTCAGTTGAGGCAAACTTAAGTTAGTGGGCAGAAATGTAAAATTCAGCAATTTTTCCATTTGTAAAGGGGCATAACACTAGAACTATAAAAGTGACACCACCAAATTCAAACTTGATCTATGTTTTGTGGTAATAAGCAATGTGTATAAGATTCATAACATTTGGTTGAGGCTAACTTAAGTTAGAGAACGGAAACCAATTTCGGGATGTACGGACGGATAGAAGGACAATGGTAAAACTTAATGCCACCTCTGCTTCTTCCGGGCACAAAAAAGTTTCATGGTGCAATCAGTTGTAGGTTTTAACAAAATACTATGTGTTGTGATAGGACTTCAGAAATACAAGTGTTTTAGTCTATAAAGAATAAATGTGGATAGTGTCCACATGTGGACACAGATGATGCCCCCGCTTGCATATCATATAGTTATAAAGAGACTTAACTGAAGAACGGTAAAAGTGACGCTACCCAAATTTGAACTTGATCTGAGTTTTGTGGTAATAAGCATTGTGTGTAAGTCTCATAACATTTGGTTGAGGCTAACTTAAGTAGAGAACAGAAACTAAAAATTCAGCAATTTTTCTATTTGTAAACACCCATAACTCTAGAACAGTTGTGTATAAGTTTTACAACATTTGGTTGAGACAAACTAAAAAATTCAGCAATTTTTATGTTTATAAAGGGACATAACTCTAGAATGGTAAAAGTGTTGCCACCTAATTTCGTACTTAATCTGTATTATGTAGTAATAAGCATTGTGTAAAAGTTTCATAACATTTGGTTGAGGCAAACTCAAGTTAGAGAACTGAAACAAAAAAATTGTACTTGATCCTTACTGAGTTTTGTGGTAATGAATATTGTGTATAGGTTTCATAATGTTTGGCTGGGGAAAACTTCAGTTACAGAATGGAAACTAAAAAAATTTGCAATCTTTCTATTTATAAAGGGGCATAACTCAATAATGGTTAAAGTGACACTACCCAAATTCAACTTGATCTGTGTTTTATCAGTGGAAGTCAATATTAAACATTGCATTGTATAAAGCATTGATTTTAGTTGATCCAACTATAATCATGGTCAAAGGAAGATAACTCCAATTTTAAAAATATATTATATAAACTTGATATTTAGAAGAAAATAAAAATTTTGCAATTTTTCCTTTTATAAAGGGGCATAACTCTAGATCCGTTAAAGTGACACCACCAAAATTCAAACTTGATCTGTGTTTTGTGGTAATAAGCATTGTGTATAAGTTTCATAACATTTGGTTGAGGCAAACTTAAGTTAGAGAACGGAAACTAAAAATTTTGCAATATTTCCTTTTATAAAGGGGCATAACTCTAGATCGGTTAAAGTGACGCCACCAAAATTCAAACTTGATCTGTGTTTTGTGGTAATAAGCATTGTGTTTAAGTTTCATAACATTTGGCTGAGGCAAACTGAAGTTAGAGAACGGAAACCAATTTCGGGACGTACGGACGGACGTACGTACAGACGGACAAGGGTAAAACTTAATGCCCCCTCCGCTACGGCGGGGGCATAAAAAAAGACATGGTGCTGCAAAACAAATTTAACTTTCTATAAATGCCTATTTGTACCAAGTTTAGAGTATGACATTTAATTACAAATTCTTCTATGAATGTCTCAAATTGGTCAGTCAGTCTTGTATTATGGCTTTCTTTGTGAAATTCTGGTTTACTAATCAAACTTGTTTTATAAATGTCATTTTTTTAATTTCAAGAATTTTATTTCTCCTTTGGTATTGTTTTTACATCTGACATACCTGTAAAGTATTTCTTCTCTAAATTTTCTAAATTACAACACAACTCACAACATAACACAACTACTACAGAAATTCAAAATTTTATTAACAAGGTAACTTAGAATCTGGAATTCTTAAAAACAATCTAAATGTTATGCTAAATGATAAAATATATGTAACTTGATTGAATTCACCTTATCCTTGTTCCCTTTACATACACTGGTCAAAATCATCATCTCTTTGTAAAAATTGATATTTACAAGATAATGACTAATAGACAACCTGAATAATGATTAAAGATGCCCATATTTTTCTTGCTTATTGCTATTGAAAATAGTACTGTATTGGAAATACATATGGATTGTTTACTTAATTATTCCTGTTAACTTGATCTGAATATTCACCCACCATTTACATTTTCAAATTTCATGATTTGTGTATATGTGTAAATAAAAAAATACAATAAAACTTGGTAACTTGAACAATCAATATTGCTTTACATCAACACACTATAACTGCTGGGTTATCTGGGGATATGTTTATCTAGTATTCCATGTAAATTTTCATCAAAAGTTTACATCTGATAGGCTAATAAAGTGGTAAACATTGTCTCTTCTTAGCTACAAATATACTGTTCCTTTCAATCTTTTATAATATCTTTAGCCCATAAAGTCATTGCATTTTAATGGAACTGAATTTAACTTTTAATTCATGATTGAAGGTATCAAGGAAGATTACCACTACAGAGAAAATGACAGAATTTTGTTTTTACTTTACTAAGTTTAAGACCTATTGTGCTATTATCAAAATATAATAAAAGAGCATGTAACTAGGCTTGTTAAAAAAAAAAAAGATATGCATAATAATATGTAAAACAAAGCTGAATGATCAATTTTTAAATCAAAGATGAGAAGAAAGGTATTATTAAATGTTTTCAATGATTTTTTTTAAAATGTGCATACTCTTGTTCTTGCTATATCACAACATAGGTAAATCTACAGTTCAATTTATCATAAAATTTAATTATATGAATAATCTCCCCTCATACATCAAATATGAATTAATCATTATTTTTTCATGTATTTGTTAATAACAGCCATGAAGAAAATGTTAGGTCTTACAATGAAATTAAAATTCACGCAAAAAAATGCATTTCTATAGTTTGTTAATTTCAGTAAAGTCAATACAGATCATTTGAGGTCAAAGAAGGCTGCTACAACTTAAAAGATCAATTCCTTAAGACTATTTAAATTCAAACACTGAAAATAATTGCAAAAGGCAGCCTGAAATCTTTTCTATGGAAAAGTCTAAAAAATTAAAAAATTAGGGTAAGGAAAAACTAAAATTTCTCCTATGGTCCAAATCCCTTGTAAAAACTATATTTAAATACACGTAACATGATGGATCACCCCTTACTAAAATGTTTTCCATGTAAAAAATAAATAAACGGTAGACATTATATGATTTCTTCATCAAAATAAGGAGAAAAACTGATATAGTCTATAATACAATGACATATTATACATGACTAGTAAATGGTAATATCATAGATGATATAATATATAGTACAAGGAGATATCTACAATAGTATACTACAAAGGTGAATGAGATATCTATGATATTATGTTACGATGATATATCTACAATGGCAAGTGCATATAGTATTGCAGTTAATATATTCAAATATATGGCTGCTGTATACATGAAAGAAATTTGTATCCGCTATTTTTCATTGGATTCATGCATACGAATGTATGAAATAAAATAGCTGAAATAGCATTACTGGCTCATTAAATGATTTTACTTTAAACTTCAAAGGAACAATAACTTCACTTTAAACCAAAATAGATAATGTTAGCAATACAACAGTTATTGTAAACAATTTGTAAGATCTATTAACACCACAAAGGAAGATACCTAAAATCCAAGGAAATCAATTATCAGTAAAAGACCCGAGTTCAATGTTTTTTGACTGACTTATTTAAGGGGAAAATGAATCAGATTTAAAATACTAATTATTACTTATATTCATAATTCCTAAACAGTATCATCATCATATATATCTGCAAGCTGTTATTAACTTTAATGGTCCCATAAGTAACAGCCACACACAGAAATATGCATAAAGATGTGAATAACACTCAATGAACAAACAGTTATGAATGAAAGTGTTAAATTATGAATGAACGAATGACTATGAATGAATGAAGGTAACATGCCATATTGGTGGGTTATACATTTAATAAATGCTGTATATATAATAAGCTTATAATGTCATACTAAAGGGTAGTGTGTCTAGCACAATCACTTTTGTATAATACAGTGCAGACACTCGCAAAAATTTACTAAATTTAATCAATCACATACACATCTAACTCAAAATTATACCATGCAATAATTCTAAAACATTGACCTTGAAGCAACATAATTATAGACATTATCAGTCATATCAATGGTCAATTGGAAGATGGTCAAGGACAGTTTTTTCCCCTACTTGCATGACAAAATAAAACAGGTCCTGACAAAAAATTCTCAAATATTCATTTTCAATTTAAATAATTATGTTGAAAATGTCAAACAATGTATCATTACTTCACAACACATGGTTTTGGGAAATATTCTTTGAATATTCATATATTTCAATGCAGATAAATTATATATGATGTGGAAATTGTCTAACTAATATGAACTTCACAACACTTTTTAATAAAATAATTTGAATCATAAATTGTACTTCACAACACAGAAATTTGGAATGATATGTTCTAATTTCTAATTTAAATAAAAGTAACAAGACTGCAAAAACATACAGCCATATCAAAAACTCGAAAATGCAATGTAGGTTCAATAGTTTGCATTTAAACAGTAACTTTTAATAACAAAAAATGGACGAAACTTTTTACAAGGCCACTTACTCATGGAGGGAATGGATTTTGATAAAGTTTATTATTAAAAAATTTGATTTTGCATAAAGTACAAAAATATATGTATTCATGAACAGTGCTCAGATATGTTTAATACAACTTCAAATCCAACAAAATGGATTTAGTCAAATGTAATGCTTATTTAATATAATAAACCAATAGTGAAATGAAATATCATCTTTCATACTTAAACTGATCCCTCCTAATGGAATGTATTACGTAGCTAAAAATTATATAAAAAAATAGTTTTATGTACAATTAGCACTTTTGTTTGAAATATATTAAAACATTATTGAAATACATGCAATTCCTCGTCTATGTATTATTAATATAATTCACCTCAACCATTTTATTCAACTACTGATATTATATCATATTCAATAGACAGATAAAGGCCATTACATTCAAAATTAAGTTTTTTTTCCCAAATACATGTATATATAAGACCTTCATTTCTTATAAAATGATTTAAGTTTGTATGTGTTGGTCTAATGTTCCATTCAAATAACATGCGCCATCATTTTTTACCATTTTTCTCTTAAGGTAAATCCCCAATAAATGGTACTATATAGATTTTCATCATTATTTCCATTCTAATCACTTTGAGATTCTTGACAAACAGAAGTTAAACTGTATAGTAAAATTTTCCGCAATCATAGTTGTAGTAATAATTACAAATTAGGTTTCGTTTAATTATCATGACAGCATTTATACTTGTACAAGTTCAGAAACAAAATTATTTGATATTGCATAAAGCCAAGGCTTAAAACTATTTTTCAGTAATAAAATTGTTTTCCTTATCAGAACACCAATATGATATCAACAATTATTAAAAATTGTCAATCACATGATCAATATAAAAAAAAAATCATTTTAATCACCTGACCTGTTATCATGTCACATGACAAACTAACAGTCACATACAATTTGGCACACATAGTAAGCTTACAGCTACAGGCCATACAAATACACAAATAAGTCTAATGGCATGATTTCTGTAATGAATGCACCAAAATTTGATGATTGTTACACTCTTGGCATCATCACTTCAGCGTATGGTGCATGATCTAAATCAGAATCTTGACTCAACTGTAATGGTTTCCGACTTCTTGGACGATCATCAAAATTCAAATCTGCATAATGTATATTATGCTGAAATAAAATAAAAACCATACAAGGTTACCATTTCATCTTATAACACAATGTTAATACTTCAATATATAATATATAAATAACTCTTTATTTTATGTTATTTTTATGTTATTTTGTATTGAACTATAAACATTCAGATTGGATTGTTCTTTCTTGCAACAATTTCTCCTATCTAGTCAGAAATGAGTTCTCTCCCCTCCCACATGATAAAAGAAAGTTAAATTAAACTGAACATTTGTTTTGTAAGATTTTATTATGAGATAAGGTAAAAATACCTGTCTACATCTTCAGATAGTATCCTATACTTACATTATTAAATGGACCATTCTTATCCCCTAATGCATCTTTTCTATCTACAAAACTCAGGTTGCTGAAAATAAATTAAACACAACAATAATAATATTTTCATGTTAAAACTAGGCTATTTTATTGATGAAAAATGTGTGAGTCTTTGAAGATAGACATGTGTCACCTGCTGTCTCAAAATACTATAACAAGAGATAGGCAAGTCTGTGTTTTGGGATGTGGAACTACAATTTCACTTCCTGTAGAAAAAATCTGTGCAAATTAAATTTTGTGGAATTCTGCCATTCTGTTTTAAAGAAGTTGCTGATGAACAAAACCTAAATCCAAAATGGCCTAACTGTTATAAGCAGAAAATGGTCCATCTGCATATACCAAGTATATGTAATACTGTAAGTACCAATGAGTAACAACGGTACCACCCTTTTTCCTCAATTTGGACATGACAGAATGCAATGTTTTATCTTCAATGAGCAACATAACAGATGCCACTAGCAGAATAGGAAAACTGCTTTAGTTTTCAGTAAAGTAATTGTGTTTTTTTGGTTTTTTGTTTCTTATTTCAAGTCTTTTTTTTGTCTGGAACATTTCATGGTCATTTTAAACTTTCCAATACGGTCATATTTAGGGTTGAAGAAATTTATGTGTACCGATGGAATAGAATTTTGTGGATCTTAGGCTTAGACAAGAGCCATTATCAATTCGCTGCTATATGATGACTAATCACTGGATATGACTCATCAATGTCTTGTTACATGTGTAACATGATGAGCGTCACTAAAGGTGCAGGAACTGTGACCCTTCTAGAACATCTGAGTTCACCTACAATTTTGGGTGAAGTTCCTGTTGCTCAATCTTTAGCTTTCTGTGCAATGTTCTGTTAATGTTGTTTGTCTTTTCATTACTTATTCTTTCTTGCCATTCTGTTGTCCTGTTTTCATTGGACTTTTCATTTTTAGATTGTCCCCTTGGTTTCTTCTCTTTTTATAATCAGAAATGGTAAACGACCATAATTTGGTATGAGATTAATAATCAGATGCATGATCACAACTTTATATTCTGTGGAAGAATCTGTGTTTTATTTACTTCTGTAAAGCTGTTTTGGGAAATTGTGAATTAACAAAATACAACACGGATGAAAACGTCGTAGGCAACAAAAGTACTTTCTTAGCTTGGCTGGCAGTTGACACAATCACAAAATACTTTGCAAAAGTATCTTTTTAGCAATCCACTGAGAATTCATATTTATTTATATAGTCAATAGATATAATATTTTTTCCAGTTTTCTATATAAAAAGGAAAAATAAGGTTAAGAAAATTGCATTTAATTGTACAATATAAGATACAAAAGGAAACTTACTTTCTTGGTTTCTCTGGTGGTTCTGAAAGTAAAATTGTAAGAAATTATTACCATTTTTGAACTGAAGCCTGTCCCATTTGGAAGAAAAGGCCACAAAATTTGAGAGCATATACTTCTTGAACCTACAGACTAGTACATATGACCATGACCATACATCTAGCCATTCTAATGACATCTGAACTACTAAATATCTTCAATTGGATTTTATGCACTGGAAATATATTGAGTAGTTGGAAGTGTAGTGTTAAACTCAGTTTTCACCTTGACCTTAACAATTCAGAATTCAACAATGAATTTTGGCATTGCACAAGATCATGCTTTTCTCTGACTGTTAATGACGTCTTTACACTAAATCCATTGGATGTTGGATGTGAGTTGATTGATATTTCAGTCTTAGATACATGACTTTTTTTTATTAGTTGTTATGGGCTTTGAAGGCTGTGAACTAGCTGTCGGTAACTACGAGTCCTCTCAGATCTGTACTTAGTGTCTTTTTTGTTGTTAGGAATGAGGGATGTATAAATCCCCTGCCACGTCTGGTCTGTGTTTTTGTTTGATGTTTTTCTGCTTTGTATTCATCTGATGAGTTAAGCCTTTTTCAACTGATTTTTATAGTTTGTTCTTATGTTGTGCTCACAAACATGTTTAACCCCACCACATTCTTTATGTGCCTGTTCCAAGTCAGGAGCCTGTACTTAAAAGGTTGTCATTGGTTCGTGTGTCATATTTGGTTTTTTTTTCGTAAATTTTTTTGTTATAAATTAGGCCATTTGCTTTCTAAATTGCATTTATTCATATTTTTCAAGTCACGCTTTTTACAGCCCACTATACTGTATGGATTTTTCTCATTGTTGAAGGCTGTATGGTTGCCTGTAATTGCTTACATCCACTTCATTTGAACTTTGGTGGATAGTTGTCACATTGGCAATCATACCACACCTCTCTTATTTCTATATTTACATGGCAGAGGACAAGAAAATAAGTATCACAGATATATATGTAATTGACAAGTAAGAGATGTAACAAATTTGGCATTCAGATTAAGGGTATTTAGTGTTCAACAATTAATTTGATGTTTTCTTCATAACTGAGATTTTATTTCTTAAGCTTGACAAAACTCTTTTAGGCCAAGCTAAAAAGGGAACATTCATACGAAGTATTAACATTATCTTCTATATATGTTCACAACTTATTTGCCTGACCTTGGTCTCCAAGAGCAAAACACATTCTGTTGAAATGGACGAATGGCTTCATTACGAGAATCCTTTCAACAGTTAGCATTCAAATATTTTGTTTTCTAACTAAATGTGTAATAAAGTTAACTGTTTGCAATATCTTTCTAATGTGCAATTTTGTGATCAATTGGCTGGTTTTTCGTTTGATGAATTCCTCAATTTATAATGACTCTGAAGAACACTTGTTTGTTCTCACGATTAAATGTATCATTTGACACTGTATAACTTTCAAAAACTTTTCATGTTTATAAGCCATATTACAAAATGCAGTTTATGAAAGCCATTGTTCTTACCATCAATACTGTCATCCTTCCCTCTACTCTTTTTCCTCAGAATAAAGATAACTATGATTATAATTATTATGACGAGAACTGCTAAACCAACAGCTATTCCTGCAATTTCACCAGTACCTATCCCACTATCTTTAATGATAAGAAAAACAAAAAGTAAATATAAAGTCAAAAATTCAGAAGTGATTTCAAACTTTACACTTCTAGCAACATACATTCATATCATGTGTTTATATTCTGTTTCCATGACAATATCTGATATCTTAGAGCTTCATGATATTCCAAAGGAATAAGTTCAGTATGGGCATTATTTGGCCCTGAATATTAAGTCGTGATAAAGAGTGTTTAAAGTTGATGAAAAGACATGTAAGAAAGTGAAATAGAACTATTTTTGTCTAGCTTTTCTTATAAAGCACTTAAATAAAATGAAATATCTGCTATCTGTTTCAATAGTTTTTCCCTTCAGGATTAATCAAACAGCTATCTAATTTCTTTTCTTTCCAAAAAAAACTGAATTAAAATAAGTACCAATCTGGTAGGAGATTTTCAGTCATACGTATAAAAGTCCCTGTACAAAAAAGTTGTTAACTGCTAGCTACTTTGATGTCTTTAGTAAATGGAATAAAAAAAATGATTAGAAAAATATGTTTCTTCAAGAACTGAAGTTTGTCTAAAATGAAAATAATTCATGAAAGAATGAAATTAACTATAAGAGTAAATACTAAAATAGTTTTGTATAAAATAAAAATTCCATAATGAAGTGTATGTAAATATTCTTTTAAACTTCAAATATAAATTTGTCAGTCTGCTGATGAAGTCTTTACACTAAATCTGTTGGATGTGTACCAATTGATATTAAAGTCTAGGAAAACATGATGTATTTATTAGTTGTAAATGGCTTTGAGCTAGCTTTCAATAACAGTGATTGATATTAGATCATTACTTTGTGTCAAAATTTGGTCTTTTTGTTAGATTATTGTGCTATAAGCCGATCTGATGAGTCAAATCCTTTCCAACTTATTTCTACTGTTTGTTATAATGTTGTGCTTTTACACCATACAATGACCTATAGTTTCTTACATTCACATCATGTGGGCTACGGTGGATAATTGTATCATTTGCAATCATGCCACATCTCATTTTAATATGTTTCTATGCTTAGGTAACATGTTGCTATTAAAGTTCCTAAAAATGGCAAAAAACCCATATCACTTCCAAAATGTGAAATGCACATCAATATGTGTATATAGATGGAGTTGAATGCATAAAATGTGTATCCTTGTTTAAAATACTTATGATTATGAACAACACTATGCTCTGATTGGACAATCATGTGTCCATGTGCATTAAACCATGAAATCAGGGTCAAAACTGAAATTTGGCATAAATTTAAAAAGTTATGTTTCAAGTTGATATGGCCACAATTTTATGGTAAACTACCTCGAACAAAAAATTAAACCTTAGAATGTACATTGTACAACAATCACAGTATCACATTTCTTTGTCAAGTGAACAGTTCAGTAAACAATTAAATCAGGTGTCAAAACACGAATTTTGAAAATAATTTTTAAAGTTGACATGATAATGAATTCACGAAAAATCTGTTACCGGATATGGGATGAACTGACAGATGAACGAACTGTTGCACAAACCAAAATATCTTGCACCCCTTCTGCTATTAGTGTGGCCTACACAAATTTAATTGCAATTCCAAGTGTGGAAAAAATTGTGAAATTTTTTCTTATTAAACAACTGAAGGTAAAACTTCAAATTGTGTACACTCCTTTTTTTAAAGTTTTAAGGATTTTTGTAAGAATTGCACAAGGAACTGATCATACCAAATAGGTACCCTCTGCTAAACATTTGATTAAATAATCAGAAAACTCCAAAATGTGTGCCAATTCATCCAACATTTCTTCAAAGCAGTATACATATTTAATGATGAATGAAATAGGTAACTACTTCCCCTAGTCCATTTCTTGTCTAAACACAGCATTATAACTATTTGCACCTTATGTAGCAAGTTTAACAAAGCACAATACAGGTATATAGATTTTTCCTGCATTAAAAAGGGGCATGTTTATCATCTTTTAACCTCAACCTCTTTAAGAAGTTTTATGTGGGACTTGCCACTTTCGAAGCAAGTTGATTTGTAACTAAGTCTGTTGACCATTCAAATGACAACTGTTTAAGTTAACATAGTTATCAGATAAGGTGATCATTCCCTTGCAGGTGATAATTATTAATGCAGCTTTACTTTGATTCTTCATGTAATGAAATAGTTTTAATTAGTTTCCCTCCCATTGATATACTTGTTAAACTTACCTTTTTGGGGTAGCTGTGGTGCTGCAGTTGGACTCGACTCTGCAGTAGTAGAAGGAGTTGTAGTTGAGGTTGTAGTGGTAAAGTCTAATAAAGTAAAAAGTATCATGCACTAGTTGCCAAATATACCACCATACAGATCTTGATTTAGTCTTATTTTACTCAAAAAAACAGTAATTGTGAGAGTTGTCTTTGATTCTTGTAAAGCCCTTTGTTTTTGATGAATTTTGATGAAATTTCAATAAAAGTTTTGCTGTGGATACCTCATTATTCGTGAGATACAATTTTTTGTAGATTTCATGGGGATATGTTAACCACAAATTTTAATGTTCGATGAAATAAGAAATTTATTAAGGATGAAATGCTGACTAAGCCAAAACAATGACATCAAATATTGATGAAATTACATATTTTCTGTAATCCGCATAATTGGTATCCATGAAAATAAATGAATCCACAGCAACTTATTTAAACTAAAAAAAAAAACATATGACCATTTGGATATTGTATATCATATAACCAAACACGTTTGGTTTATTATGAACATAGTATGAGGAAATTTCCTCAGTTTTTCTTTTGAAATTGCTTCCTCCTTCAAAATCAACTGAATACAAGATACAATAATCTATTAAAAATTAGAAAACCTTTACCAATAAAATGAAATAAAAACATAGAAAACATATGTACAAATCAAGAACTGTATTTAATTGGTGTCATTCTCTGAAAAAAAAGCTCTAGCTTATACAAAGTTATCTAAAATCTTCTCAGAAGTATAGTGCTGTGGTTCAGTTACAAGTAAAGCTTAATAATTCGATCATGTGTCACTGGGATTCACTGCTATGCAGTGAGAACTGCCATTGAAGGATGATTACTTTTATGGGGTTGTCTTCTTTCTAATCAAACTAAAAATAACAATTATATTCAGGGATTAATTTTGGTAAGGGCCCTAGTTGGTCTCAAATGTTAAGTCCATTGTTTCAAGATAAAAAGTGATTTAAATCAATGAATAGACATACAAGAAATTGAAATAGAATTATTGTCGTCTAGTTTTAATAAGTGGTCACCCCAAATAGGCCAAGAATAGGGATTTTGGTGAAAATTGACAAAATCACATGGATTTCAACCACATTTTAATTTGTTATAAAAAAAACATAATGTCAAAAGATATTTGTTGTTGACGTATGCACTGTTATCTTTTATTTACATTTCATGGAAAATCAAAATTTGCACTAATTGTGGCATCATTAAAAGAATGCTGATGAATAAATCTCTTACAGAGCCCTATTTCTTATCTAGTCATAGTGTTAGCTATGACTCATTAAGAAATTTTTGCTCCAAATAGGGGCCATATTAGGGTCCTACTCCCTTTAATTCATCAAATTACTCCTGACTATATAATTATATTAGCCTCTTTACAAGACTGTTTACCTTTTTTTGTTCAAGTTACTTGGGAGTTTGGAAGACACAAGCAGCAACAATTCTGCAATGTAGACTAAGTAAATAAGTAAAAAAAAATCTGTTAAACTGTAATGTTTTTATTTTTTCTTGCAATTTTGGGTTGTCAGGCATTATTCAATTTGCATCCTTTCAATGACACAGAAAAGTGTGTCATTCTGTATCTAAATACAGTTGAAATATACAACTTTGTTTTGAAAGAATTTTTTTTATACTGGAGGTATATAGCCTAGGAATGATAATGGACAACCAAAGGAAGGAAGGAAGGAAGGAAGAACTGAGATAATGGAGAACTATATATCATGCTACACTTAAAAAGCCTATTATGACCATTTGTATGTGTAAAGAACATCACATGGACCAGATGTGAATTTCGCTGTTTTTTAATTAAATATCCTTAAACACAACCTGCATCACAGTTATGCCAGTTACATCCAAATTTAAGTCTCAATGGTAAATAGGATTTCTTCAAACCCCCTCATCATGTCAACTTGGTCATTGATTTTTTAAATACAATATTTGAGAAGCTTCTGAGAAGATCTATTTCTATTATCAATGCTTTCATAGTTTATACTTTATATAATAGATAATATATTATAAACTGTTGATTAACTGTGCCTGTTTTAAAGACACATGCAGAAGTGTTATAGTACATAATGTCCATTTAAATATATGTTTTAAAAATATTCTCTGATAATAAGCATTATATAGTGTACATTTTTCCTAGCATCTGATTAATTTTTTTCAATTTTTAGCAATAGAAAATATTTTTTTTTAAATTATTGTTTTTTTGGACGGATCTCTCCACATTTTTACCTGTTCACTGACCATTTTTCTAAATTCCTTCAGCTGACACATATTTCAAGTCTTTTATGCTTCATAATTCCATTATACAAATTCCATAAATAGTTCAATAGTCTTTGGTGACTAGTGATTTCATTTTTCTACAATTTCTGCTAATTAGCATGATAAGATATTTTACTTTTTGATGATGTTTTAAGTAAATTTTCAGGATTTGTACAAAAACAAAAAATAAAACAAAAGCAAAATAAATTTAAAAGATAAAACTTTTAACAACCCAGAAAACAATCAACTTGTTGATAGAATAAGAATATAAACATGAGAAATAAAGAAAATATTGTTTTGCATGCACATGCACAGATTAACGAAAAAAATGTAACTAAAATGCAAATATATTCAAACATTTTTACTCTTTTAATTTGAATTCAATAATAATTAAGTCTTTATAAAAAAAACATCACAGCACAAAAAAAGCAAAATAAACAAATAAAATTATTTCCAACAGTAAATTGTGTAATTTAAAAAAACAAAATATGCATATAATATCATGTATATATATGGAAATCTGTGGTAACAAAATAATAGCAAACCTTATTTGACTGTATTTATAAAGAAAAGCCCTTATTCATTTTTCTTCCTTTTTTTTTAGTTTTTGTTTTGTTTTCAACAAGTATCATTGAGTATGCAGAAATTACCTCGATACATGTGTTTCACATGTTCAATAGCTATTCCAAGTTACTAAATTTCTGATTATAAGATTAAACAAATAAAATATTAAATATCAATATTTGACGAGAAACTATCATTTAATGTGTATAACCATATTTGTATTGTGTTATCGATCCTTCCCTACTTACTATTAACAGCATATCATATCCATTTTGTTTTTAGCCTAATGGTTACAAGAGTCGTATGCAGACATTTTTTTTGAGGTGTTCATTCCCTAACATTAACAGTGAGTTGAGGAGAAAATATTGTTCAATGTGTGTGTTTGTGTGTATATAGATACCAACCTATTTGTATGTGTATAGAGTTGTTCATGTTGAATGTTTGTCCATTGAAACTGTTCTGTGCAACACATATGTAGTTATCTGTTTCATTAACCACAACATTACTGATGACATATGTAGAACCAGTCCCTAGTGACACACTGGTATTGGATTCTTTGTACCAAGTATAACCTGTGTTTATTACAGCAGGATTTCCCTCTGATGTACATGTAAGAGTTATGGGTCCTGCTCCTTCAGCAAAGGAAGGATTGGTGGGAGACTTTGTTACTTGTACATTCCTAACACTATCTGTAGTAAAAATAAGAGAAAAACACTGTAAGAAAAATTTATTTACAACAATTTCCTAAACAATTTTGTTTAAACAATCCCTTCTTACATCATGTTCATATTCCTTTACCAATTGTTTTTGTTATCACATTTATCCTATCACACACACAGATGTAAATATTAGCAAACTTGTACTTTATTATTTATTGCCTTCTCACAAACATGACAAATGCTTCCACAGCTGTATTTCTATTCATATACACTGTGAGAGGGAAGCATACAAAAGACAATTACACATGAGTTTCCACAATCATGATTATAAGCCATGTTGATATTCTGGTATTTTTATTTATGTTTTTGCCCGACAGCATTTTTTTTTTTTAATTAAAAAAATAAATTGTGTAGTCTGAGGGACCTTTCATCTCACTTGAAATATTTGGAAACAAGGTGTTTTTATGTAACAGCACCTTCCATGCAGCAATAATGTAGGTACAATAAAACATTTGTAAATTCTATTCCACTTTTCCTCATCACTTCTTAATCATTGTTAATCATTATTTTATAACCTTCATGATTTAAATTTTACCCATGGAATGATACATATATATCAAAACTTATTAAACCCCTACTTACAATAAACATTTATGTCATCCGTCTGTTTGTATAAACTTCCTTGTGGTACTTCTTGATAAACAACCTGACATCTAACTACTGCATTATTATCTTCTTGTTCCATCTTCAGTGTCAGCTGACTGGTGCCATTAAATGTACAGGTTCCTGGCATTTGAGTAGCTGTAGTGGTTTCTGTTTCATATGGTGTTTCCTGTATAGTAGCACCATTGGAGTTACGTCTGTATCTCACCCATCTGAATTTGCCTTGTGGTTTGCCGACATTGCCAGTACATGTAAAGACAACAGTATTGCCTTCTTCTATCCCAGCTGATGGTACATATACTGGTACATTGTCTGGTTCTTCTGGGTTACCTATTATACATTCAATGTAAATAAAAAGCATCAACAACTAATAAAACAAAAGCATTCTGTGAGTATTGCATGGCAATACATAGTCCCCTACCGGTTAAAAATTCATTGTATTGGAACAAAATTCTAGCTTGATCTATAACTTGTCCTGGTGTAAACTATATAACAAATATCAAATCAATATCTTCAAGCATGACGAAAAAAAGTATTGAAAACTGATTATTTAAGTGACCATAACTCTGCACAAAATCATCAGACCAGAACAAACTTTGAATTTGATCTGTAACTTGTCATGATAAAACTACATACCAATTTTCAAATTAATATCTTCAAGCATGACAAAAAAAAGGGTGGAAAACTGATTATTTGAGTGAATTTTCTAAGTCCAAGGACCATAACTCTGCACAAAATCATCAGACCGGAACAAAATTCAAACTTGAACTGTAACTTGTCATGATAAAACTATAAACCAATTATCAAATCAATATATTCAAGAATGACAAAAAAAAGTGCGGAAAACTGATTATTTTAGTGAATTTTCTAAGTCCAAGGACCATTACTCTGCACAAAATCATCAGACCAGAACAAAATTTGAACTTGAACTGTAACTTGTCATGATAAAACAATACACTAAATATCAAATCAATATCTTCAAGCGTGAAGAAAAAAATTGGGAATGTGTCAATGGGACAAAGATAATGCCCCCGCTTGCATATAACGTTATAAAGGGACATAACTCAAGATCTGTAAAAGTGACGCCACCAAAATTCAACCTTGATCTGTGTTTTGTGGTAATAAGCATTGTGTATAAGTTTCAAAAGATTTGGTTGAGGCAAACTAAAGTTAGAGAACGGAAACGAAAAATTCAGCAATTTTTCCATTTGTAAAGGGGCATAACTCTAGAACGGTAAAAGTGACGCCACCAAAATTCAAACTTGATCTGTGTTTTGTGGTAATAAGCATTGTGTATAAGTTTCAAAACATTTGGTTGAGGCAAACTAAAGTAAGAGAACAGAAACAAAAAATTCAGCAATTTTTCCATCTGTAAAGGGGCGTAACTCTAGAACAGTAAAAGTGACGCCACCCAAATTCATATTTGACCTGTGTTTTGTGTTTATAAGCATTGTGTGCAAGTTTCATAACATTTGGTTGAGGCAAACTAAAGTTAGAGAATGGAAACGAAAAATTCAGCAATTTTTCCATTTGTAAAGGGGCATAACTCTAGAACGGTAAAAGTGACGCCACCAAAATTCAAACTTGATCTGTGTTTTGTGGTAATAAGCATTGTGTATAAGTTTCAAAACATTTGGTTGAGGCAAACTAAAGTAAGAGAACAGAAACAAAAAATTCAGCAATTTTTCCATCTGTAAAGGGGCATAACTCTAGAACAGTAAAAGTGACGCCACCCAAATTCAAATTTGACCTGTGTTTTGTGTTAATAAGCATTGTGTGTAAGTTTCATAACATTTGGTTGAGGCAAACTAAAGTTAGAGAACGGAAACGAAAAATTCAGCAATTTTTCCATTTGTAAAGGGGCATAACTCTAGAACAGTAAAAGTGACGCCACCCAAATTTAAACTTGACCTGTGTTTTGTGTTGATAAGCATTGTGTATAAGTTTCATAACATTTGGTTGAGGCAAACTAAAGTTAGAGAACGGAAACCAATTTTGGGACGTACGGACAGATGGACGGATGGACGTACAGACGGACAAGGGTAAAATTTAATGCCCCCTCTGCTATGGCCGGGGCATGAAAAGTGTGGAAAACCTATTTCCCTGACTGACGGATGGACAGACGGACAGAGTGCAAACCTAAAGCCCCCTTCGACTTCGTCGGTAGGGGACTAATTAACCTATTTATAAGCAAGTAATAAACATTCATGAAATTAAAAAAAGAACAAAGTTCCAATGTCCCCTGCGTTATATAATTAATATTTCCAAGGGCATAACTCCTTTAAACATATTTGACTGGCACTGATCTGGCAAAAATTGTACACATGAGAGCATTTACAATGCAATTTTCCATATAATTAATATTTCCAAAGGGCCATAACTCTTTTAAAAATATTAGATCGGCACTGATTTTTCGAACTTATCCAAGACAGTGCTGACATAAACTGTTAATATAAATTTGATAAAAATCTGGCAAGAATTGTACACATGAGAGCGCTAACAATGAAATTTTCCATATATTTAATATTTCCAAGGGGCATTACTCTTTTAAAAATAGTTTATCAACACTGTTTTTATAACTTATCAGAGACATTGCTGATATAAACTTACATGTATGATATAAATTTTTAAAAATCTGGCAAGAATTTAGTGCACTTACAAGACCAGACAGACAGACGGCCCAGTATTTTATGTGTCCCCCCCCTCCCCCACAACCTAGTAAGGTAAGAACTGTTAAGAGTTTTCACAGGTTTTTTTTCTACAGAAACAATTAAGCATTTTTGATTTTCCATGATTGACATTACTGAGCTGCTTGGAGCCTGCTTCTTTTAAATCTAAAGGCAAGAGCAACATCTAATGTCCTTGTTTCCTTACTGCAGGTGCAGTTCTAGATAGGATTTAAGGCAGAGGGTACAGTTTTAAGATGAAGGACAATTAAGCACAGTTTCTTGACTGAAAAGTGACATTTTGCTCAGATTTATAGCTAAATAGTTGAACAAATTAAAGAATTCTTGCTGGATTTCATCATTCAAAAATTAAACATTTACAATATACAGTTAACATGGTTAATACAAAGTAGTTTTGCACATATACATGTTCCATGGAGAATGCGAAGACTTACAGCAATGTTGTAATGTGAATTTTTCATACCTTTAACAATTATATTAGCAGCAACACCAGAATTTTCAGAAGTACTTCCACCAGAACCTGCATATGCTACGTTACACATGTACTCATTCTCATCTTCACAGGCTATCTGTGAAAACTGTATTACAGCAGAATCTGCAGATGAAGTTGTTGGGTTGGTAAGTGTCACTCTGTTTGTTAAATAATTGCCATCAGTTGTTAGGCTAGCATTTAATGGAAGTGATGGAGTGTAAAATATTGCTATATTTTTAAACTGTCCGTTTATTTTAGCCTGAATATTTACACCTGTAACAATTTCTCCTGTCAAGGTAGTAAAAGAACATTTCAACTGTAAACTAGTTGGTCCTAAAATTCCATCTGAAGGCGCTGCCTGTATCTGAACACTTATACTTTCTATACCTAAATAAAGGAATAGTCAATTACATGTAGTAACAAATAAATAAATTACAATAAATGTTTCAAATCTTTTATGTTTGAGATCTAGTGATGACCATTATGAAGTTGAAATGTGCTCAACAAAATTAGGACTTCCAACATCCAACACATAAAAGCTTCTGTTCTTACTTAAACTTCAGCATACTCCATAGACTATTCAAACAGAAAATCAATTTCTGTTATTTGTTCTCTGGGGGAAAGTTGTCTCTATGGCAATCATACCACATCTTCTTCTTTTTATATCAAAAAAATTATAGCACAACACCTACACAACATTTTATTATAAAATCTATTTTAAATAACAGCATGGTACTATAAGGGTCTAGGGCGTTACAAGAACTGCTTTTATTAAAAGTTTTTTTAAGTCAATAACTCTAATCTGTACTTATTCTTAATGCAGTTTCAATAAACATGTACATGTGTGTGGATATTTGGAAGAGAATGGAATGCAAATTAAAAGATGGAGGATAAAGCACCTATTCATCAAGTGACAATATACCCACAATACACCCCATTATAAGGAGAATGACAGTCAGGTCCTCATACTATAACAGGAGGTAAGAGGACATTACATGGTACACCTGTTAACAACCAGGTAATGATAAAGGTTCCTAATAAGAAAGAATTACCTATCTGGTATGTCTACTATTCCATAACACAGAATAAGGTATGATAATTGGATCTTTACAATGCTTTGAAGTCCTTTAAACTTGTGGTAAATAGAGCGTTTCTTCATTACTGTAGTTTAAATCAGGACACAAACTAACATGATTATATCTGTGTTTGAATCTTTATCATATGGGAAGTTATAATCAGGGATAAAAAAACTGTGATATAAACATGATAAATAGTATCTATAATTACATAACAGATGCACTGTAATCATAAGTTGGCATGAGGCCCACCCATATCATCTATCCTTATATGTTTTGCAAAATTACACGTCATATAAACATGTACACACTTCAAATTATGAAAAAATATGATCAAGGTTCTTCTGTTTAACATGTTTAAAGGGTTCAAAACAATGAACCAGTCCACAATAGATGAAAATTGCATACAGCGGGGAGTCTGCTGAGTTTTATTCTTTACCATCTTATTCAATGGTATACTTTCTTTCTGTAAGTGTACTTGAATCTAGTTCTTGTCATTTTTTTAATGTTTCCTATAGGCTATACCGGTAATACAATTATTACTGTCAAACCTTATAAGTTAAACATGTGAAATGCATTTTTAACTCTGAGGAGTCAAAATCAGTTTGTTCCAAATCTCAGTTAACTCCAGTATGCTTTTTATTAAATGCTCATGAAGACAAAATTAAACATTCATCTTGTAAACTGTTGTAATTTTGTAGTGTAGAATATGTAGTAAAATCTTATGACCTTAGGCTTACAACAATGGAATTAAACCAAAAGTCAAATATTTGTCTTAATCTTAAAATGTTGAGATTATCACACTTGATTATCAACTTAAATCAAAGTTTTGTTATACCTGGCATTAAAGTAGGTCAGATATACAGCTGCTTAAAGGCTATTTATCGTGAAATAGTTCCTGCACTCAGGTCTAATATTATAAACTTGAAGTCTAATGGTACTCAAACTTATGTTAACTTATCACAAGTCAGTCGGGGATCTGATAAGTCTTAAAAAGAGAGGTCCATCAAAGAAAAGAAACAGGAAATTTTGATGAAAATTCTATTTGATATACTGAACTACAGATCATTTCTTCCGATCTGGCATCTTTGACCACTAAATCTTAATCTCCATATAGAATTCTAAACAAATAAACAAGATGTGAAAACAGATACATAATTGTTATTTTGTAGATCTGCCTGGCTATGCTCCAAATAAATTTGCATTATGACCAACACCTGGGTTATATCAGGGTTATTATATATATCAATTTAAATTTCTATCCTTCATTTACAAATTCTCTATGCTAAATTGTGTAAATATCACATTTATATGCACATAAACAGGCATTAGAATACCAATTACATTAAATAAATACTTAGGGCTTTTGACCTCAGATGGTTTAAATACATATAGTATATATCTATGCATGTATGATAAGATTAGATCTTGGGTTGAAATAACAAATAACCAGTCTCATTGATTTAGAATTAAATCACACATTTTAAAAACATTCAACCCAAATAACTATTCTATTCTGACAACAGATCTTATAAATGAGTGTTAACTTCACATGTGACATTTTACAAAGATCTGAAGGAAAATAATGAAAACAGTAGTGTATATACAATGTACATGTATCCATGAACTTGTACACTAAACCTACTATACAATGTATGTAGTAATAATACTTGTCACCTCGGCTTGGTATGAATACTGTACATACATATAAATGAAATTCACCATTAAGAATATATATCAGTTTTAAAAAACTATATTCAAATATAAAGAATATATAAAAGGTGTCTATGTTAAAGTGAAACTTGATAACAGGCATTAACAGGCCAAGTATCTCATGATATTTCAGGCGACAGTAAACTGTCCTTCTGTAAAATATCCCACTCATCCAAGCAAGGAGGATTTAAACCCAAGACAAAATAAAGTTTTCCTACATGAAAAATTGTTCAGAATTTATAATAAAATTACACGATTGAATCAAGTTAAGCCTGAACACTTCACAAGACGATACAAGTATATGTCCCACATTGTTGCAGTAAAAATCTTTTATGTTCCATATCTATTCATTGATATTTACAACTGTGCAGTGTGGATAAGGATATACATGTATTAATGTGTTTATGAGTAGCATGAGTAGTGTGCATGAAACAACACAAACTGTCAGTGTGGAAACTTAGTAAGTTGGGGTCTTTAACATCCTACTCAGGAACTTAATAGGGGGTTTCATTGGCGGGGAGATGGGGGGTCTGATCCCGGATCCCGCTTATTGTTTTTGTGAGAATCCAATCCTGTATCCTGCTTATCATAGCGCTTGTAATTTCACATGTTCCGCCCGACTTCGTTTCCCGTTTTCACACAAAATAATTTGACTATGTCAAGCTTGCAAAAAATTGCTCAATCCCGCATCACGCTTACACCCCAATGAGACCCACTTAACTCGAAGTCCAAAAGAGTATAGAAAATTGTACAACATATAAAATTTAATGTTTAAGTACATGAGTTTTATCTCTCATAGAGATTTCCGGTGACCTATAATTGATGTTCAATTACAGAAATGATTTATTGTATTTTATTGGTGATTATTGAGATTTTTATGATTGTCAATGATGTGCAGTATTTTAAATGAGTGATGATTGACTTTTTATATCCCTGATGTGTCACATGACCACTCCCAAAGGTCATGACTAAAATACTCAATTTTATGTCAATACTAGTTTCTCATACCTTGCTTTGTAATTCACTCAATGTGTCACAAAGAAGTAATACTCTATTTATAAAGAGTGCAAATATGACTTCATTCTTAAAGGGATTTCCCATTTTTTACATACATTTGTAAATGCATGACAGCTCAATTCTTTAATATAAAGTTTTGGAAAAGAGGTTTATTTAACAGGCTAAAACAACATTCATTTTTTTCAAAATAATTTTACACATGAAGGGTGGGATTGAACTACCTAACATGACAATGAACAGTACATTTTTTTGTTAATATAAAGTTATCAATATACATTTTTCTCTGTTTGATGAATCAAGTGACCAAAAGGAAAAACAATAATAATCCCAGAGTTTTTCAATCACAGCAATATAAAGTTCAAACATAAAGAGAAAACTTATTGTCCTTTCACAATCTTCATTTGCATAAAATCTAATCGGTTGTTTTGTTTTAGCTCATCTGTCTAAAAGTCTGGTTATAACCGCCTAACACCTAACCGGTATACTGAGACATGCGTTACAAATAAACTTCTAAACTGTACATGTGTAAAATTTCTATGCAAAATATGTTATAGCTTGAAATGACTATTTCTTGGTAATTGAATTCAAGAATGAATTTGTATACAAATGTAAATATAAGAAGTCTACAGATATAAGGATATTTGAGGACAAGGAACACCCTCCATTGTAAACTTTCTGTTTCCTATTGTTAAACATAACAAAAGATCAGAGGGCGACATGGTAGCTACAGATCAAATATTTGATCAATAAATGTTATACAAGCTAGTCCTTCCTGTATTACCCCATGGCCTATATAATCAAATCAACCATAAAAAGTCAATTACATGTCATCATGTACAACTGACAATGTTCAGGTTATGACAGGTAACACTTCCTGTCTACCTGTATACATGTACATAGGTTTTAACATCTTACTACATGCAACTCCCACACTTTTGCATATATTTACTATTCTAAATCTATTTAAAATTTCTTTCATAAAAGTACCTGTGTATTCAGGCATAGAATAAACAAGATTTAAACTATTTCAGGTTCATTAATTAAGGATAATTCATCTCTGTATTTATTGTATTGGGGCATGTTCCTTCATATCTAAAATCTTGATCGATAAGTATGTTTTTCTGAAAAGTGGACAACTCTAAATAGATAACACCTAACAATATGATGATAAAATCAGGAAGATCTTGTCTATTACCAAACAGACCTGTTTTAATCTCAAGCCAATTAGATAATTCAGACCAACAGGTGTTGATACAAACCTGGAAGGTTTCCACATATGTCCAGGGTTAATGTAGATATAATCTATTACCCAAGTGTCAAAACAATGAATTTGCTTTAATTAAAGTATTGTCAGAATTCAATGTGTCCTAAATATGCTAATTTAAACCTTTATCAAATACATTTAGTATTAGAATAAATACATGGAGTTTATGAATTTGGTTTATTGTTGAAGTTGTTATCGTTAATATCATAAACAAATAAACCTACATTTTTTGTAAACATTGTACATGTACATGTCAATCTTTTGTCAAAATAAAACAGAAACTTACTACAAATGTACATGTAATTTCTTACTACAAATGTACATGTAATTTCTTTTCTGAAAATCAATACCCGACTTGTCCAAAGCTAATTTGTACAGCTATAGAAATAAATTGGGAATGTGTCCATGGGACACAGATGATGCCCCTGCATGCATATAACGTTATAAAGGGACATAACTCAAGAACGGTAAAAGTTACGCTACCCAAATTCTTACTTGATCTGAGTTTTGTGGTAACAAATAAGCATTGTGTATATATAGGTTTCATAACATTTGGTTGAGGCAAACTTAAGTTAGAGAACAGAAACGAAAAATTCAGCAATTTTCCATTTGTAAAGGGGAATAACTTAACGGTAAAAGTGATGTGACCAAAATTCAAACTTGATCTGTGTTTTGTGGTAATAAGCATTGTGTATAAGATTCATAACATTTCGTTGAGGCAAACTAAAGTTAGAAAACGGAAACGAAAAATTCAGCATAAAAATGTTTCAAACAATTTTTAAAAAAGAATAATCAGAATAAAACATTTCAGATTTAGTGTTTTAGAACTGTGGTCATACATTGTAGTAGCAAATGTTAAAAAGTTCTTTACAACTTTATTGGCCTATCTTATCCTAAACAGATCAGGGTTCTTCCACAAAATTAAATACATCTTTGTTCTTTTGATTAAGTACTATAGTTTATAAAAATCATAATGAACTTACAGTCAGTCTATTATTAGTCATACGTTAATATTTCAGCAAAGATCCAAATTATAATTTATATTTTACAGTAAATTTGTATTTAAAATTCACATCCCAAACGGACTAATACATGTACAACCAATCTGGTCAAATGTTCTCAAAATGCTCAGTGACAACCTGCTGCAAGTTACAGTCTGTGAAGGTTTAGAACCTAGCAAGCATCTCAACTTTAACAGGATATATGTTTATGAAAAGAGGTTCCATTACATTTTTGAATATGTAAATTAAATAATTTATTATTGAAATGTTCTATATTTTCTTTCTTTCTTTTTACTTCCGATCAACTTCAACTTTAATTCAGGCATACAATGTATCTAATTTCCGCATACCTGCAAGATACGAATATCTTCCTTTAAAATTAACATTAAAGGAGTGTAACATCCATGAGGATGTTAACCCACTTGGATGTATCAAACATTTGTCAAATTTACATCTAAATATTCATGATATTATGGTTAATGCAAAAGGATAGATTTCTATTGTTTAGGAGGATGTTTCTTACAACAATGACCTTATATTTAGGAAAAACTTGATAAATGCAGGATATCAAATTATATTTAATGGCATCTAGATGTAAATTTGGTTACATAACATGTAAAACCATTGTATAACAAGTTTTTTTAAAAGAATGTTTACTACTGTAGATGTTATTACTTTTTTACACTACTAGTAGTTTTATATATATATTGACATTTAGGAATTGGTTAAGCCTAAGGTATATATGATACTGTTTTCCCAAATTACATTTTAAAAAAAACATGAAATTAAATCATCCACAAAGTTTCATGATTTGATTTTAGAATTACACACGTTACATGTACATGCATTTTTATAAATTTTCAATATAAATTTCTACTTTTACTTCAAATTACTGGTAAGGTATGGAGCAAAATTTTTAAATTGAAAGTGCAAAGAAAAAGCTTTTTGATAGGAATGTAATTTTCCCATGTTAGCCTGGTATACGTAGGAACACATATTACTGTGGATTCATTATACATATAATTATTATTCATTGGATATCACTTTTCATGGTTTTTGTTGGTACAAGTAAGGAAATCACAAATTTAAATGTTCAACGAATTACAAATTTTATATATAGGAATATTTGCTGACTTAAGCAAAACCATGAAATCAAAAATTTAAACATACATGTATGAAAGTTTTCCCCAATCACCAAATTTGGGACCCATGAAAATATATGAATCTACAGTATCTTGGGCCTTCAATAAGAGACAGTTGAAAATCGCTTCACTGAAAACAGCAGGTACATGTAGGTACAAAAAAAAGTATATTATGGATGGTGGTTCATGATCACATTTCCATGGTTTCAGAATACTGTAAATTTGGAAATTATTGCGATGTTTTTATTATTGCAAAAAATGTGACAGTGTTGTAATCGTAATAATTTAAACTCGCATTTTGGAATTTTTAAATGAATGAAGCAGGATTTTTCTCAATATTGCAAAAATTCAAATTGCATTTTGGTCTAAAATGACAAAATCGCAATAATAAATGCACGCAATAATTTCAGAATTTACAGTATATATAAATATGTACATGTACCCTATTTTTTACAAAATAATTCAAATTAAGCCAAGTTGAGATAAGCAGATATGCATACTGGTGCCAGTTTTCAAGTTTTTGTACATACACTTTTACATATTCATTCATGTATTTTGGAAGGAAGACTTGTCCAGTAGAACAAAATGTAGAACAAGGGGCTTGGTAAGAAATTTTTTATAATTTATCGCAATCAAATGCAATACCAAAAAGAGATGTTGTACATGTACGACAACTCCCTTTTTATAGTAATATAATTCTTACTGGTAATGTCCATCCTTTGAGCTTGAAGTCCCTTCATTTAATGTTATGTCAACAAAATGACTGAAATTACCTGACTTGAGCATGTTGGGGGACATCTTTAACAACTATGAACAATGGGTATTGTTTAAGCCTTTGACAAGTAACCTTTTAGACTAAAAACTTGTTTTACTGTGTATGATATTACATGTTATTTTACATACAAACATCACATGATAAAGTCAGATATCTATATATGCAGTGTTGGGATCGGTACATCAACTTCTGCATGAAAACATGAACATGTTGACGATGTAACTTTACAGTAGGTTTTCATCAGAGTGAGGAAGTCAAACTAGAACAGTAATGTCAGTATTGTCATATTTTATAAGAGGAGATCTTAGAAAATTATAACATTTGCTTAATTAGGCTGCGTAAAATTCTAGGCATGTGCATAGAAAAATGTCACAGGATATGACTTTTTCAATCTCCAAATTGAAACAAAAACTATCCCGGAAATCTAAATAGCGTAAACCACTGTATTTTAATTTAATCTTTAGGTTGTGATAAGATTGACAGCAAATGCTGTAAAACAGCATTTCCTGATGTCAGATTTGTCAGTATGACATGATGACATTTTAATTGAAAAGAAATACTTTCTCTCTACATGCATTTTGACATGCACTAGCAAATTTTAAATGTATCAAGATATTTTTCCTTAATTTTTAAATAAAACAAAGCAACACTTTATGATACCCTCCGATTTTAGATATTGAACAAAGCTTTAAAGCAAATGGGTGATGTCGAGAAAAGCTACCCGACATGTTACAATACTATATCAGGGAAAATTATCTAAGCTGTAATATGTGTGCGTGTAAAACTTAAGTCGGCTATTTATATCAATATCTATAAAGGCAAAGACCTTTTCAGTGATATTCTCATGACGATCCCCTTTTTCGGGAGCGTCACACGTTTGTTTTGATTTCCTGAAAGTGAACTTCTATTCACTCTGCGTTCATTTTGCACTTACCATTTATGATAAAAACACAAACCACTAAAGAAAATATCAAGCTTTTTGAATATTCCATGTTTCAAATTCTTTGCGTTGTTGATAAAGCAGAATACCCTTTTAATTTTACACTGTCACAACCAAAGTATTTGAAATGACATCCGCCATAGTTGACTCACAAGTATTACCCAGAATGCAATGGAATTAGGTATCTGTGGGGCTCAAATTGGGATTACTGAAAATACTTTCTCTTTTTATTTTAACGAACGTATATATATATAACTAAATTTTATTCATTTTTGAAAATAAATGCATATATGCCTAATTTTTATCAACAGTAATTTAAGACTATAAAAATCCTTGATCAGTCCAGAGACATATATTCGGTACATCGAGAAAAATGATCGTGAAAGATTACTAACGATAGTCTGACACTAAGCATTGCGCTCGGATCGTGAAAGATCTGGTATCCGATCGTGAATAGATAACAAATAGGAAGCGTGTTTTCTGATTATTTGGGTGGATTTCGTTATAATTTTACGATCTTATCTATTTTATTTGTTTTTTTGTTTATTTCTGTAAGTTAGCACTATCGCACTGACATAAGACAGAGACATAAATACACACATATTTATATGTGTCTCTGCATTATATAATAGTCCCAGGTTATTCTCATTATTTTTCGACAAAACATTTTTACTATGCCTTCTTTGTCTGGTACGAATCAGGAAACTGCATTTACCTAAGAAGAAATTGATGATTTTTTCCTTCATTTACTGACGCCCAAAACTTTAAAGTGACATCGTGTAGAACTGTCCGATTTCGTAGGTTTTCTTGTTTACTAGAATATATGAAGGCGGGGATGAACTTGTTTATTGAGATTCACACCGTTTACAATGGAATAAATCGTGAACTGAGTCATGCATTACAAGAAAAAAAAAACTGAATTAAGCTGATTTCCAATTGTCAGTACTACATGTCAGGGGAGTAGCTAGGTTTCCAATAAACTGTAGACACAAATTGCGGCAGGTGGTCTGGGGCAGCAGGTCTAGGCAGAGTCTTGTAGGGGGTTCAGGACGGAAAACGGTTTTCAGCATTTTAAGTTGCAAAATTTTGAGTACAAAAAACATAAAATTTACTGGTCATTCTAATATGATGTTCTTTTTTCGCTTTGGAAACGAAGCCATGTTCTAATTCTAATAAAACATGGGCTACACGTGACTGACGTCACAATTGAAATTGCAACGTCAGCTGTATTTCAAATAACGCCGGAGATCAAAATGGACATTGACAAGTGTTGGTGGTTCCCACTGGGAAATTAATTAAAATCATTCTAAAAGTAAGTTTACATGTATCTGTTCATTTTTTTTATGGTGAAAAGGTTGATTTTCTATATCATTTTGGCTGTGGTTTTTATAGGTCCCCTTCAGAGGATAAAAGTTCTGAATTTTCCTATTAGAATCGAAATAATTCTCTATCATGCCATACTCTTGCTCATTTAAACATAAGGTCCTGTAATAGGGGTCGTCCAGGATGACTTTAAAGGTCTGGAAATTTGGAAATGCCATTAGAAAATGAGGGTTTTTTGGATAGGGACAGAATTTTTGCCTTTCGGACCACTCAAAGAGTTGTTGCAAGTGTTTTTAACACACAGAGAGCGTAGCATTCTCTCTACACTAGGCATAGGATTTAACATGCTCATTCTGACCAGACATGACTGCGTATTTATACATCCCGCACAGCCAAACGGACGCCCCACTTTGGCAACGGTTTTATTGTAGATCGGAAGAAGACCAAGTGGAAAGATATCTATGGTGCATCTACAGATAACATTGTAATTCTTTTTTTAATAAAAAAAAATGTTTGTGGAAAAATTATGTGAAGGCACGTGCCTAAAGTCCCTAACGGCAGCTACGCCCCTGCATGTATATCATGTAACAGGCACTATACTTAAGAAACGTACGTACATGTATTCACGAACAGATTAATTTTTTTGATTTTACGCTTTGCCTCTTAAATTCAAAGACTGTGAAGTTATATTTACTCCAGAAAATGGCATAAATATAGGCCCTACAACTTAAGTTATAATTAATGTTACAGATTGTCGTTTACAACAATTGTTTTGCTATCGTGTGCAGCAAGTGTTTGTCTGTCGTTCCGATTTCCCGGATTTTGATACAGTTGATTTGGGAATCGTGAACAGCAGATTTCGACATATGTTACCTATCGAAACCAATAGCCTGTTATAGGTTTAAATACATGTAGATAATGATCATCAATTCACAAATGGTTTCTTATTTATTCATAAATGCACATTTGTAACCCGATGGGTTGGTGGCATGTATTAAATATTTCTTTGACTGTAAAGTCAATTCTGAGTGATATTTTCTTCCATCCTTTTCGGGGAACAGCTTTATTTGTTCCAGACGAACGACATTCATAATACTTCTTGAAAGTTTTATTTTTTTTTGTGACGAATAGAGAGAAAAAAGAATTAAGCAGCTATTTCTTGTAAATATTGAAACCCGTCAAAAATAGGGGTACAGCAGTCAACATTGTGTTATAATCTTAATGACTATAAAAACAAACAAATATGCCAACAAAGAAAAACAAAATGGCATATAGACAAAGCACATAAGCAGAAATGAATGACAATAATACAAAAAAATGACCACAACACACCAACACAATGGCACCTAGGTTTTATTTATAAAAGTACTTCACATTTAAAACATTTTAATTTTCTAGTTTCCGTTTTCCCCCTTTTTCGCAAATCAATTTGAGACTCGGTATCGAACCAGTGCTGAAAGTTATATTGCAATACATTATGGTAAATATGGTTTGCATTTCTAAATATATTCAATAGAAAAGCAGGAAGGGTGTATCAAAATAGCTTAGGTTCTACTGTATATGTATATATTACCTTTTTCTTCATTTACATAAAAAATCTTTTAAAGGCAGTAATTAAGTTATGCTGCTCATACCAATAGTTAATTCCTTACTGGAAAAAATATCAATTTCTTCCTTTGCAAGGTTATTTCTCACATATGACATAATGATACGCGATAAGAACTTTGTTCTTCAAATCGCCATAGAAAATTTGGCTCGGTTCGACCCCTTAAGGAAGTTCGCTCCTCTTGTTTTTAAATTTTTGCCAGATATTCAGAATTCTCTGGTTTTATCCATGTAGTGTCATCAAAAATTTTGCGCGCTAACTATAAAATCCTTGTTATTTTTTCATAGTTTGTGAAAGAAACAAGAGGCTCTCAGGAGCCTGAATCGCTCACCTGTATTTCAGAGGAGAAGATTTTTAAATGTTAGCAAACTTGATGAACAAATTGTGTAAAATTGTCTTTAAAGGGCAATGACTCCTTAAGGGGTCAATTGCCAATTATGGTCATGTTAACTTTTTTGTAGATCTTACTTTGCTGAACATTATTGCTCCCTACAATTTATATATATCTATAATAATATTCAAAATAATAACAAAAAACTGCAAAATTTTGTTAAAACTACCAATTCGGTGGCAGCAACCCAACAATGGGTTGTTCGATTCGTCTGAACATTTCAGGGCCGAAAGATCTTGACAAATTAAACATTTTTACCCCTGTCATATTTGCTCTTAAAGATTTAGTTTTCGAGATATAAGCCAAAAACTGCATTTGACCCTTATGTTCTATTTTTAGCTATGGCGGCCATGTTTGTCGATGGATACAAACTTCGGATACAATTTATAAACAAGATACACTACGGAACATTTAGTTAAAGTTAGAAGGTAATTGGCCCAGTAGTTTCAGAGGAGAAGATTTTTAAATGTAAGCAAACTTGATGAACAAATTGTGTAAAATTGTCTTTAAAGGGCAATAACTCCTTAAGGGGTCAATTGCCAATTATGGTCATGTTAACTTTTTTGTAGATCTTACTTTGCTGAACATTATTGCTGCTTACAATTTATATATATCTATAATAATATTCAAAATAATAACAAAAAACTGCAAAATTTTGTTAAAACTACCAATTCGGTGGCAGCAACCCAACAATGGGTTGTTCGATTTGTCTAAACAATTCTACCCCATGTCAGAATTGCTCTAAAAGCTTTAGTTTTTGAGATATAAGCCAAAAACTGCATTTGACCCCTATGTTCTATTTTTAGCCATGGCGGCCATGTTTGTCGATGGATCAAAACTTCGGATACAATTTATAAACTAGATACCCTAAGGAACATTTAGTTAAAGTTTGAAGGTATTTGGCCCAGTAGTTTCAGATTTTTGAGATAGTTTACGACGACAGACGACGGACGACGACGGACGCCAAGTGATGGCATAAGCTCACATGGGGCCCTTCGGGACCCGGTGAGCTAAAAAGATGCCAATGTTAAATGTATGAAAAGTCTAGAGAGAATCATTTCCCGCCAAATTTTCAGTGGCTTATATCTCGAAAAGAAGCACACGGACCCTTATTTTTTTTCTGCTTTTATAGTTCCTCTATTTATATACTATCAATTTATAACAATCTTTTAAAAATCTTGTTATTTTGAAGGAGAGTAGCGAACATCCTTAACAGCGCCTATCGTCTGCTGATGCAATTTCACCTCTTGTTAATCATATAAGTCTTGTTTCCCGAGTGCCACCGATGCTAGTGTTATAACAATTTTACTCAACATACCTGTCAAGCCAGTTTCACATGATTTCCCGAGTTTTCCCCTTTAACATGGTGTAACTTTCTTATTTCTTGATAGATTTTTACCAAATAAACATCAATCAAAACAAGTTTCCTTGTTTAAGATTTTCGTTGCTTCCGCACCATTTAATATTTTTACCCGAGGGCAAATTAATTATCGAATGATAAGACGACTGTTCGATAAAAAAGTAAAATAACAAAAATACCGAACTCCAAGAAAAATTCAAAACGGAAAGTCGATCCTTTATCAAATGGCAAAACCAAAAGCTCAAACACATCAAACGAATGGAAATCAACTGTAATATTCCTGACTTGGTACAGGCATTTCCTTATGTAGAAAATGGTGGATTGAACCTGGTTTTATAGCTAGCTAAACACTCACTTGTATGACAGTCGCATCTAATTCTTAATTAAGTCTGTTGGAAGGATTAGGCGAATATCATCTACATCTTAGACCACCACACCCAACTTTGCAGAAAACAAACAAATTATTATT